CTCTCCCGTCTCTGCCTTCGGGATGTGCAGGGCGGCAGCTGCTGGGGTCTCTGTAAAGTGAGCGCTCTGTCCCTGGCTGTCCCTTCCAAGGTGACATGAGATCTCTCTTCCTAGGATCCCGCTCTGGCTCCATCCAGACGATGGGGAACTCAGGGAAAACCAGCGCCCTCCGGACACTGTTCTCCTCAGGCCAGGCCCGCCAGGGCCAAGGACACCCAGGAACCCTGGCCATCTGACCGGGGACAAAGCCGCTGGCTCCCTGGCGCTGCCCCTCTGGGACGGCCTGTGGGAAGAGGCCTGGCACATGGCCACGAGCCCTGGGCAGCTCAGCTCCCCAGGGACACGGGTCAGCTCTGCCCAGGCAGCACCAGGTGCTGGGCCTCCTGCTGCTCCCAGTCCAGCCCTGGGCTGAGGCCCGGGTATGGTCATGGGCAGGAGGTCCCTGTTGTCCCCAGCCTCCCATCTGGATGCTGTCAGGAGGCAGCGGAGGCTCAGCATTTCAGATTCAGCAACTTTTCAACAAAGTCCCCAAGTCCCCAGGGTTCCCTTCCCAGAGAGGTGCCACCAAACACTTGTCTTCTGAGGCCAACACCCCCACGTGTCTTCCCTGGGCCTCCCCATTTCTGCCCGTCACATGGAAGGAACTAAACACTCCAATCTGCTCCCTCCACCCCCTGCCCTTGGCCCTGGGCCCCCATCCTTGACAACAGGGTCCCCAGCCCCACTCCTCCTCCCACCCTGAATCCCACCCTCCACACGCCCCAGCCTCAGCTCCTCAAAGCCAACAAGACCACGTCACCCTGAGCAGAGCTTCGTGACCCTTCCACACTGGTGCACTCCTCCTGCCGTGGCCTCCCGCAGCCCTGCTGGTCCTCACCATCACCACCAGGTCCCCTTGCTTCCTCTTCTGCAGCCACGCGGCCTCTCAGCCACGTGCCTGAGGGCCTTTGCACATGTCATGAGGTCTTCCCAGCATGCTCTTGCTGCACCAGCTCCTCAAGTCCTTCCTAGCTCTGCTCAGGTGTCCCCTGTTCAGAGTCCCCTGATTCTCCAGCCTAAGGACATCCTCTGTGCTCCTGCGCCTCCTCCCTCCTCCTTCTCAGAACCTGCCCCCATCTGAAGCCGGTTGGCTCTTTCCAAGTCTTCCTCTGTCACTTGCACCCATGGGAACATGAGCCACATGAGGGAAGGAAGGTCACCCTCCCATTTGTTGCTGGATCCCTGCTCTAAGGACAGGGCCTACTGCAAACAAAGCTCTTACTGAGCATTTGCCAAAAAGCTGGATGAGAGGAAAGAGCCTGGGGCAGTGCTGGAATTGCAGGTATTCCAGCCAGACTGCTGGGGTCAGAGGGGCCTCGACATCACTCAGCCACACATGTTCCTTTTGCAAACATGGTGGCCAGCCCAGGGGGCTCCTAGGAAGGGCAATTTCAGCCCCTTCCCTCTCACGCCATGTGCTCCCACCATGTAGCAGGAAAGCCCTCCCCAGAACGTGGCCCTCGGTCCTCCTGGCATCCAGAACCGTGGGCCAACAACCTTTCGTTCATTACAAATGACGCAGTCCGTGGCCTTCTCTCACAGCAGCAGCAACTGACTAAGGCCCGTGGTGTGAGGAGCGCCAAGCAGGAGGACCCGGGGTTTGCTGTGAGCAGTCGGGGGACCCAGGTGTCCTCCAGTG